AAGAGGCCCCTTAATCAAGCTTTAGCTATTTGTGATATTCAGAGCAAGCAAACAAGGTTCATACAGTTTACTTCTATGCTCAGCAGTTCCAGAACAGAAACCAAATAACCATATCTGTTTAGACTGGACCCATTCTGCTTGTCCTTTGTAGAGATGCCAAGGCTCTCCACATCACTGACTTGAGGCTTGCTGTTAAAAACAGAGCTTGTTTCACTTTGTTCCTGTCCTGAAAGCTGTTTGCAATGTGGGATTCCAGCTCTGAAATTCTTTAGAGGAGGAGGAAGGGAGGGGATTACAGTCATCAGTGAAAGCTGTCAGAGAAATGAATGAAAGAAAGAATTTGTTTTGACTTCTCTGTGATTTGTTTGTTTCTGCATTACGTTCTGTCAGTAAGCCTTTAAAAAATAGAAAGAAAGAAAAGAGTGTAATGAAACTGTAATTTAAAAAATATTGGCTAATAACCAGATGTGTTGCTTCTTGTGTTGGCTTCCTCTTGAATGGATAAAGATCTGTATCCCATAGAAAAATAATGAAGACACAGCCATTCATTCACTTTTGTCCTTAAGCTGACATACCACATAAATAAATAGATGATGATAAGATAAATTCAATTTTTAGGTGAGGAGGAGTATAGAAAAAAGACTTAAGGCCTTTACAGACTGCCAGAAATAATGCAGCTTGAGACCACTTTAACTGCCCTGGCTCAGTGTTAGGGAATCATGGGAATTGTATTTTTTTCAGGAACATTGAGCCTTCTCTGCCAGAAAGCTCTGGTGCCACAATAAACTACAGTTCCCATGATTCCTTAGCACTGAGCCAGGGCAGTTAAAGCAGCCTCAAGCTGCACTATTTCTGGCAGTCTGTAAAGGCCCATAGTGGCCTAAATCCAATAGATAGTCCCAAGTAGAGTGGACCTACTAATCAATGGGATTTATATAGGTGTTAACTTACTATTCAAGAGTTGGTTCAGTGAGTCTCCTGTAACTTGGGCAGGCACTTGGATGTAGGCCACTGTCATTTAGGAACTCTGACAATAAGGTTTGGAGCAACTTTCAGTGACAGGCAGGCTCAGTGCCAAAAACCAACCAGGGTTTCTTTTCTTGGTTACTTCAGCCTGAGTAATTTGCTGACAAGTGTTGCTTCTCTGAGGGTCAGAGTAGATGTTAAGGAGGATGTGTATTCCCTGCAAATAACACACTTTCCTTACAGCAAGAGGATTTCCCAAAGACTTGGGACCTTATCCCACGCTGCTCTCAAAAGTGGCAAGAAACCGATATGAGCATCATTGCAGTACTATAGCACTAGTATAATATGGCGCTAGCGCTATAATAGCGCTATGGATAAGGTAGCGATATTGCAATGCCCGATGAAAACAGGCATACAAAAGAACCCCGAATGATGCTGCATTCCGAGCGGTTTCTTGTTGTATTCTGAGCGACGTCGTGGGATCACCCGGAAAACTATAGCGCTATAGCGCCTGATTCTTAGCGGATTCCGAGCGACGTCGTGGGATCACCCGGAAAACTATAGCGCTATAGCGCCTGATTCCATGTGGATTCTTGCTGCTTTTGGCCCCGTGGGATAAGGTCCTTGGGGAGCATTGCTTCTGAATAAATTATTCTAAATTAGCATTGCAAAGTGTATTCTCTACTTTAACCCTGAGTCTACTGACAAGTGGGAGAAGGTGGGAGATCAGATATAGAACTTAGGGGGGTTGCAGACTGGCAGAAATAGTGCAAATTGAGTCCACTTTTAGGGTTAGGGTTAATGCTAGGGAGTCATGGGAATTGTTTTTTCTCTGAGACATTGAGTCTTCTCTGTCAGAGAGCTCTGGTGCCACAATAAAATACAGTTCCCATGATTCCCTTAGCCTAACCCTAACCCTAAAAGTGGACTCAATTTGCACTATTTCTGCCAGTCTGCAACCCCCCTTATACAGTTGGCTCTCTGAATCCTTTTTGGTTATTCCCAGCTAGTGGAGACCCACTGAATCAACAGCTGACTGATCACTTAACACATTGTTTCAATGGGTCTACTCTAGTTGAGACTAACAATAGGATCCAGGCCCTTATGTTCAAATGTTCATTGGAGTTTATCACACGGGAGAAAGCCCGTGCAGAAATGGGGATTTAAATTAAACAAAGCCCGCAAAAGCGGGTGTTTTTTTCAGACAACGTTGCTGTTAAAAGGAGGTTAATCCGAACGGAAATTAGACAAAAACTGCTTCTTTTTATTTTCGGAAGATCCCAAAAGTAAAAAGAAGCAGTTTTTGTCTAATTTCCGTTTGGATTAACCTCCTTTTAACAGTGCTGGAGTTTATCATACGGAGAAATCCCGTTGATAAATTGCTTCCACTTTTGCGGGTTTTTTTCCTCTTTAAAGTACCATTTCTGCACGGGGCTCCCCATGTGATAAACTCCATTGACTAGCAACCACAGCAGAATAAATAATGAAAATGAACAGCATATATGCATATGTTCATAATAAAAGTTTTCCCTTGACATGAATGTCTAGTCGTAACGGACTGTAGCAGGAGGTGCTCATCCCCATTACTAAGCCAAAGAGCCAGCGTTGTCCAAATAAGGCTCCATGGTCATGTGGCTAGCATGACTCCACAGAACACTATTACCTTCCCACTCAGGTGATACCTATTTATCTACTTGCATTTTCATGCTTTTGAACTGCTAGGTTGGCAGAAGCTGGGACTAGTGACAGAAGATTATTCCATCATGTAGCACTTGGCCTTCAAACTGCCAACCTTCCAATCTTCTGGTCATCAGAGTTGGTGTCTTAACTACTAAGGGCCTTTGCAGACTGCTAGAAATAGTGCAAATTGAGTCCACTTTAACTTCCCTGGCTCAGTGCTAGGGAATCATGGGAATTGTATTTTTTTCTGAGACATTGAGCCTTCTCTGTCAGAGAGCTCTGGTGCCACAATAAACTACAGTTCCTATGGTGCCCTAGCACTGAGTCAGGGCAGTTAAAGTGGGCTCAAGTTTCACTATTTCTGGCAGTCTGCAAAGGCCCTAAGTCACCACATCCCATATGTTCATAATAAATGGAGGTAAAAATAACATATTTGGTTTAATAACTGAAATCTTCTACCCACTGTGTCCTAGAAAACAGTTAAACTTTTAGATTTCTTATTTAATTCCCCACCTGCTTTTGGAGAACTTATTTGTCTTCACTGGTAAATTCTGATCTCTTATTTAATTCTACCTCTTCCCCCCACCTCCACCCCATGCATCTAGTCACTGTGGATCCTCAGGGTATTTTTCTGTCCTCTATTTTAATTTCTTGAATGATGAAACCGATGAGACTCCATCACCCATGAGCTGTTAGATGCGTTTTCCAAATTTGTTTGGTAGCCAGCTTTGTATGACCAGTCTTTTCTGCTTCTCATTTAGTCTATCGGTAGAGTGATTTGGTATTCAGCCTTTTGAGGGTGGTGGGGTCCTATTTGATTTTTTTTATGTCTTGGAAGTAAAGTGTCTGGTTTTCTTGTGACCTCTTAGCAGCTGAAAAGAAGAGTACTAATGGAATATAAAGGGACATCCTATTTGTCGTTACCAGCCACTAGTCAGAGAATACCCTCATGCCTGTTAATTGGCCACATGGAATGTAGATAATGAATGAGACCCAGGACAGCATAGATCTCTGAACTTCAGTATATAGCAGAAAACACAATGAAGTCTGTTTCAACAAACCGCCTGAATTGGCTGACCCAATCTGCACACTTACCCTGTTTTACCTCCCAGATGTCTCTTGTTTCTAAAAGTACTAGATGTTTTCAGTTAGCCTGTTTGCTGTTGGTCACAGAGTTCTTTAATCATTTGTTCTTTTGTGGTAGCAAAGATAGACCAAATAGCTTTTCCAGAATATGTCCTCCTTTTTTAAGAGATGTCTTTATTTCTCCACAGACAGATACCTTCCATTACTGAAATTTACCACTCCATTTTAAGAACCATTTGGCCTTGTAAGCTTACACAGACCAGTCAACCATACATCCACAACTGATGTGTTCTAAATGTATCCTAAGAGAATATAAACAACCAAACTCCCATGTGCTACAGTGGTACAATTAGGTAATTTTAGACTGCATCTAACAGTCTTACAGCTAGAAATGTTTTTAAAAAGACAAACTCACAACTCTCTCCATCTTAATTTTATTGCATTGCATTGAATCTCACCTGTATTCTCATCCATTCCTTCTTCAGATCAGATTGCAAGACTGTGCCTTGTATTCCTATGTGGAATTTCATATAGATTATCTGTATAAAATTTTCCTAACACACATATTTTTGCATGCATTTTTCTCACAGATTAAAAAAAGTGTGTCTATTTTTAGTTGCATGTTTTTTGTTGAAAGTCTGTATGGTTTTGTGCTCTGAAATACAGAATTTACTGCTCTGAAATATGGTGTGTGCAAAAATCTCTGAGAAAAAAATTGTTTTACAACATGTTTTGAGAGGTGCCAAATGGATACTTCTGTCAAGAAGCTTGTAATAAGTTGGGCCTCTACCACCAGGCAGATGGGTTTTGAAGTCCTTATTAACGTCATGGCCAAATATTAACAGATGAGGCTGGAAAAGATAGGAAGGCTAAAAATGGACAGAGTGAGGCATAGTGAATTTTCCCCTATTGCTAACCTGCTTGCAAAGTTCTCATAGCTATGAAGGGAGAGATGGTTCATATTTGTGGACTTTGGTTTTCTTTGTTTATTGCTGTACTATATGATCCTTAGGAGTACATATTCTATTGGCCTCCCCTTGGGGGAGTGTGGTTCAGTCCAGGGGTCCCATATAGCCAGCTATGGGAGATTTGCTTGCCGGCCAGGGATAGTTGGGTAGAATTAGTTTGAGGGTCTAATTCTACTTTTGGCTGTGAGGGGATGCTGAACTCCATCAGTGAAAGGGCAGTGCTTCTTTGCTGTGTACGATCTTCAGGATCATTTACCACCAATAAAGCTTATTTTATAGCAGTAATGTGTGTCAGTAGAGGGCCAGCGTGGCATAGTGGTTTGAGTGCTAAACTATGACTCTGGAAACCAGGGTTTGATTCCCAGCTTGGCCTTGAAACTTATTGGGTGATCTTGGGCAAGTAACATGTCCTCAGTCTCAGAGGGAGGCAATGGCAAACCTTCTTGAACAAATCTTGCCAATGTCAATGATAGGTTTGTGCTAGAGTTGCCATTAGTGGGAAATGACACGAAGGCATACGGCAACATTTGGCATCAAAAGTTATTTGAGGGCTGCCTGGAACTCTACCCTGTTCCAGAACAAGGCAAAACTCAACTCCAGTGAAATTATTTTTCATGGCTAGTCTCAGTATCTTCCTTTTCCCATCCTTCAGGCAATTACAGTTGGCCCTTCATTTTTATGGGGGATCCATTCTGGACACACACACACCCATGAAAATGGAGATTTGCAAATATTCAAGCCCCATAGCCTTGAATGGGGAGCACCCCATTGATTTTTGCCCCTCCATGAATACGCAAAACCACGAATGAAACTTTCTCCAGAATCCAATTGGGTGAAGTGGCATTCCGAGAGCGTGGGTTGAACGGAGGTGCTGGTAACTAGATTAGAGTACAAAGTGATGCAGGGTTCCCCCTGAACTCCTAGTGATACTGAGGGGAGAAATCCAGGGGTTTTTAAGGGATAAAACTAGCCACAGGGCAAAGGTGTGAGATTGCCTGGATAAGGTAATCTGGTCTGGCAATATTCAAGGGGAAATGGGAGAGGATTAAGTAATTAGCTGGCCCATCAGGTGAGACATCTAAGGCCATTATCGACCATCCTTCTGATTCTGAAGATGATGATGGTCCATTTGCAACTCCCACACTATCTGCCTGTCTCTGGGGATTGGGGATTTTCCAGTCTTGCAAGTGACCTGGGCATGACCCATTTGCCTTGCCATGGTGGCATTTGGGGTTCACTGGGGCCATGTGGAATTCATACACACACCAAAATTCAGAAAAAATGCATTGTTGCTAACAATGGGAAGAGAGAAGGGAAATTAGAAAGAGAGAGAAGGGTGACCCAAAACAAAGAGGAGGTGGTCTTGCCCACTTCTGGACTTGGCTTCATCTCCACAAGCTACATGTGGCAGTAATCCTGTTGGTTAGTCTCAACTAGAATAGAACCATATAATCAATTTCTGAATTATGTATTAACACATAAGCAAAATTAAATTTTTAGTTGAGGCAACTAGGATTCAGGCTGGCATCTCCTGACAGATTAGCCCCTAAGGAATCTCTTCATCCCACCACTCTCATAATAGATTTGATGAGAACAGAAGAAAAGGGCTTCCTAGAGAAGCTAGAGTTTCACTCTCCTTGGCATCCTGCCAGAGGGAAACAAAGTGGACTTCACTTATGGGGAAAAGGCTTTTAATGAAGTGCTATATTGTCTATACTTATTGGGGGGTTTTTTGGGGGGGGGTCTTCTGAAATTGCTTTTAATTCTGTTTATAATTTAATTTTACTTTTGCATATTTTAATGGTGTGGACTGTTATCTGTACCAGTTTTAGCTTTGTAAGCCACTTTGAGAAAATTTGGGATTTGTTCTTGTTAACTGCCCTCGAGTCAATCTCAACCTATGGTGATCCTGTGGATGAGACATCTCCAAGACCCCCTGACCTCCACTACTCTACTTAGTTCCCATACATTCACATCCATGACCTCCTTAATAGAGTCCATCCATCTAGCATGTGTCCTTCCTCTCTTTCTACTTTTCTCCACCTTTCCTAGCACCCCCCCCAGTGAATCATACCTTCTCATGATGTATCCGAAGTATGACAGCCTAAGTTTTGTCATCTTGACTTCCAAAGAGATTTCTGGCTTGATCTGCTCTAGGACCCACTTATTTGTCCTTTTGGCTGTCCATTGGATCCTCAGCACTCTTCTCCAGCACCACATTATCTCAAATGCATTGATTTTCTTCCTATCTTGTTAACTGTCCAGCTCTCACATCCATACATGGCAATAGGGAATAAAAAAGGCTTGTATGATTCTAACTTTTCTGCTCAATTGTATATGGGTCTTTAATGCAACTTGAGTCCACTTTAACTGTCCTGACTCAGTGCTAGGGAATCATGGGAATTGTAGTTTTTTCCTGAGACATTGAGCCTTCTCTGTCAGAGAGGTCTGGTGCCACAATAAACTATAGTTCCCATGATTCCCTAGCACTGAGCCAAGACAGTTAAAGTGGTCTCAGGTTGCATTATTTCTGGCAGTCTGTAAAGGCCCTATCTTTGCATTTTAAGATCTTTTCTAGTTCTTTCATAGCTGCCTTCCCCATTCTTAATCTTCGTCTGATTTCCAAACACAAAACAAAATGTGGGATAGACATTGTTTTTATCATCATCATCATCCATCACCACCACCACCATGCTTTCAAGAGGAAAAAGATACTCCCCAGCTCTGTTTTAGGGATCTCTCTCAGTTTTTAGAGAATGCTGATATCTGTTCACTTCCCGTGTAAGCAGTACAATGCAAAATCCAACATACACAAATTATTTGGCATTACTTTTGTAAAGATTTTGGTTGCTGCTAAGAAGGGGGTAAGGGCGAACCCTCCTGGAGAAATGCTAATCGCATCATTGACTGATGTACTGGGAAGTTGCTAGTACATGGGGTAGAAGTAGGAATGGAATTGGTAAGATGTTGCAGGCAGTGAGTAGGGTGTGGAAAAGAGATGAGATCAGATTCCTTATGAAGCTGCTCTCCCAAGGCAGAAGAGACCATCCTGGCTGCAAAGGCAAGTTTAGCCTTCAGCTTCTGAAGCTGCAGCTATTCCAAAGACTGTTTTCTCCTGGGGCCTTCTGGGTGACCTCCAACTGTCTTATTGCAGACTCAGGCCCAGGTACTGCTTTTGAAACTGCAGCCATTCCAGAGACTATTTTCTTCTGGGGCCTTCTAACTGGCTTCCAACTGCTTTTTAGGAGACTCAGGCCCAGACCCCCAGCAAGGAAAATTTAATAAATTGCCTTTTGATGGACAACAGTGAATCCGGTTCTTATTGTTAGTGAAGTCAGTGTCAATCCATTTTCCTTGCTAACTATTTGTTCTTTTTTGTGGTTATAGTGATAGTGTGAAGGAGTGAGGGCCAGTTATTCTGCCAGGGAGGATTTTTTCTAAAGATAGCATTGTAGGTCTGAGGTATATTTATCTAGTTTTAACCTTCAAAGACTTGGGGGGGTTGCAGACTGTCAAAAATAGTGTGAATTCAGTCCACTTTTAGGGTTAGGGTTAGTGCTAGGGAATCATGGGAATTGTTATTTTTCTGAGACATTGAACCTTCTTTGTCAGAGAACTCTAGTGCCACAATAAAATTCAGTTCAAATGATTCCCTAACCTTAACCCTAACCCTAAAAATGGACTGAATTCACACTATTTTTGACAGTCTGCAACCCCCCTAAGTTTGTTTTAATTATGTTATCCCCCTTCCACTGAGTGTTTTTGAAAAGATTATTATTATTATTATTTTATTTAGTTTAATCCCTCGCTTTTGTTCATGCTTCAGTTAAAACTCTGCAGTTTTACCTAGGTTGATTGAAGTTATCAACCTAAGGGAAAGAGTTGCCTGGCTGGTTCTATAAACTAATGGCAAATTCTTACTGCAGCCATAGAATATGTGTTTTTATTCTTCTATCATTGGAACAGAATTTGGCAGAACACTGTCTCAGAAGGAGAAAAATAGTGCCTTCTAATTAGGATTCTAGCTGCCAGTTGCCCTGGTCTATTTGTTTTGTTAATTTGTTGCTGTTAATTCCTGAGAAGGCTCTGAAAAGCCCATTTCAGTCACTCAACCCCTCTACTACAGAACATGGCAGCCAGGTTGGTTCGGGAACATATAACACCAGTCTTAAAGTCACTTCACTTGCTGCCTATTAGTTTCTGGGCACAGTACAAGGTGTTGGTTATCACCTTTAAAACTCTAAATGGCTTGGGTCCAACCTATCTTCGTGACCGCCTTCTCCCATATAATCCACCCCACACACTCCGGTCCTCTGGGAGGAACCTGCTGCAGACTATAAAAACCAGGCTGTCTGAAACTGCCCAGAGGACCTTTTCAGCAACCGCTCCCAGGTTATGGAATGACCTGTCGGATGAGAGCTGTCATATTACCAACCTAACCAGCCTTAAAAGGCTGTTAAGATGGATCTCTTCTGGCAGGCCTTTCCTGACTAGATATCCCGGCCTTGAGAGTTAGCTTATCCTTCCTTCTCCAACTCTCTGCTGCAGTTGTTGGTTATTGTTTGTTGTCATTGAGGCTCTTTTAAGTATGTTTTAATTATGTCATTGTTTAATACTTTCTTAAGGGGTTGGGTGGGTTTTGGGATTATTGGGTTGTGATTTGTATCACATTTTTATGGTAATCTTAATGTTGTACGCCGCCCCGATTGCCATGCAGAGGGGCAGGATATAAATTATTATTATTATTAGTATTATTACTACTACTACTACTACTAGCAAAGTCAAACAAGGAATAAAACAAGAGATATGGTGTTTAGACTCTGGGAATTACACCTGGTGCTAGTGATCCCCTTCTGATTAAACACAAGAAACAAGTGCTTTCTCAATACTTTGATAATAAAGTGAATGTTGTTACAACTGAGGAGGAGGTTTTAACCCCCCCCCCCAAGTCCCACAGTTGACTGGACACTGACCTGCAGAGGGGATGTCCAGACACAAATGGATGAGCTCTCCTGTGGAAATCTTGCAGTACAGATGTGGAATGTAGACCAGATACTTGCTTGGGACAAACACAACCCATTGTTGACAATACCCAATTAAATGGTGCAATCTTCTGACAGCTACAGAAACTGGTCCAAGATAAGAGGAAAGCAGACCAGAATATACCTACTGTACAGACAGAGAACTCCAATGGAGTGAAACTGCCAATTGAGGGCTGGATTTATTTGCTGATGAAGGAAATAGAAAACATAAAATCCTTATTTGTGAGTAACAGTCTGCTAATAATATTGACAAATAACAGGATTAGCTCAAATTCCCCCCAAAAAACAAATAATCCAACCAATCCAGAAAGCTGAGCATAAGAAATGCTAG